CTTTCCCCTCCACCTTCCACGCCTCCACACCTCTATCCTCACTCTCCACTACTCCATCCCCACACTCCAAATTCCACCCCACCCCCCACCCCCAACCATCTCCTTCACCCTCCACCTTCCACCCCTCCATCCCCCCCCCCCATCCTCCAACCCATTCTCTTCACCCTCCACCTTCCACCCCTCCATCCCCCTCCCCCCCCTCCCAACCCATCTTCTTCACCCTCCACCTTTCCACCTCTCCATCTCCCCCTCCCCCCATCCCCAACCCATCTCCATCACCCTCCACCTTCCACCCCTCCATCTCCCCCCACCATCCCCCAACCCACCTCCTTCACCCTCCACCTTCCACCCCCTCTCCCCCTCCCCCCCTCCCCAAACCCATCTCCATCACCCTCCTCCCCTCTCCCTATCACTTCAACGCTAACTTCTTAAGGCAACACAAACTTACATCCACACACCGGATTCAGTTCACACGTGACCCCCGAATCGCAATGGCGGGGGGGGGGGGGAGTACTGGGTAATTTTAGTAGGGGGAGGGGAGGGAAGGAGGGGAGGGAGGAGGAGAGGGAAGGAGGGGAGGGAAGGAGGGAGGGAAGGAGGGGAGGGAAGGGAAGAGGGGAGGGGGGAGTACTGGGTAAATTTAGTAGGGGAGGGGAGGGGGGGGAGGGGAAGTAGGGAGGGAAGGAGGGGAGGGAAGGAGGGGAGGGAAGGAGGGGAGGAGAGGACAGGGTTCAGGGTGGAAAGAAAGGGGGGGTAGGCGGTGGGGAGGCAGGGTATTGGGGTGAACTGAGTGGAGAGGGAGTGAGAGATTGAGAGTGAGAGGGTGAGAATGAGAGAGAGAGAGAGAGAGAGAGAGAGAGAGAGAGAGAGAGAGAGAGAGAGAGAGAGGAGAGAGAGAGAGAGAGAGAGAGAGAGAGAGAGAGAGAGAGAGAGAGAGAGAGAGAGAAAGAAGAGAGAGAGAGAGAGAGGGACAGGACAGAAGATAGAAAGAGAGAGAGAGAGAGAGAGAGAGAGAGAGAGAGAGAGAGAGAGAGAGAGAGAGAGAGAGAGAGAGAGAGAGAGAGAGAGAGAGAGAGAGAGAGAGAGAGAGAGAGAGAGAGAGAGAAAGGCGATAACGGAGGAGGGAGAGAGGCGGGGAGAGTGAGAGAGGGGGGGGGAAGAGAGACCTCAGCGGCCAATCTAACTTCCCGTGAGAAATGAGGAGAGAGAGAGTGAGTTATGCGAGTAAGAGTGCGGGTCTGCAGGGGGGGGAGAGGGGAATGAAGGAGAGGGAGAAGGAGAGGGGAAAAGGGGAGAAGGGGAGAGTGGAAAGGGGGAGAGGGGAAAAGGGGGAAAGGGAGAATAGAGGAGAGGGGGAGAGAAGGAGAAAGGGGGAAAGGGAGAGAGAGGGAAAGGGGGAGAGGGAGAAAGGGAGAATGGAGGAGAGGGGAAAAGGGGGAAAGAGGGTAGCGACTAAGGTGTGAAAGAAAGTAGAAAGGAAAGAAGACGATGATAAAAAGGAACGAAATGTTGAACTAAGGAGAACACAAGAATACTTCAGATATATCTATTCAGCCGTTAACATGTATAAGTATAAGTTTTATGATAAATTCCAACAACAACATAAATTAACACTTATGACAAACTATAACATTATCTTATAACAACAACAAATACATAAAAAATACTTATGACAAACTAAAACAATATCCTATAACAAAAGAAAGAAGAAGAAGAAAATAAACAAGAGCACAGTGGATAGAAGGAAATAAAGAATAAAGATGGGTGTAGCGAAAAGAAGAGGACGAGACAGAAACAAAAGAAAGAGAAGAGGAGACCATGGAAAAGGCAATAATACTGATAAACACACGATATATGGACACAGGGAGATAAATAAAAGGAGACAAGAAATAGGGGAATGATAAGGGTGACCCGGCTGACATCTGTCTGAATACGGAAAGGTGATAAACGTAGGAGATAGTAAAAGAGAAGATATTGCTGACGAAGCGGACCTGGGTGGTGGTCAAAATATCGTATAAAAAAAGTTTGTGAATGTAATAGGCCGACGGAGACGGAAAGGAGAGATCGATCGATAGATAGATAGAGAGAGAGAGAGAGAGAGAGAGAGAGAGAGAGAGAGAGAGAGAGAGAGAGAGAGAGAGAGAGAGAGAGAGAGAGAGAGAGAGAGAGAGAGAGAGAGAGAGAGAGAGAGAGAGAGGAGAGAGAGAGAGAGAGAGAGGGGGGGGGGGCAGAAGGCAAGGGAATGGTGGAGGTAAAGGTAGAAAGTAGGATAGGTAGAAATTAATAAAGCATAAAAAAGGATACACAGATGAACTGATCTAGATGTAGAAAGTGTATTGATACATTTTTCCTTCTTCTCTTGTGTGTCAAAATAAAAAGATCCACATGTACACATCGTCCTCTCTCTCTCCCCCTCCCCCCACCCTCAACCAGCAGACTACAAAAGATCCCCCCGACTTCTTCCTCCTTCAAAAACACAACACACAAACAGCGACAAACAAACACACAAACAGCGACAAACAAAACACAAACAAACACACACAAACACACAAACGACAACACAAACACACAAAACAGCGACAACAAACACAACAAACAGCGACAAACAACACACAACAGCACAAAAAAACACACAAACAGCGACAAACAAACACAACAAACAGCGACGACAAACAACACACAAACAGCGACAAACAAACACACAAACAGCGACAAGCAAATACACAAACAGCCGACAAACAAACACACAAACAGCGACAAACAAACACACAAACAGCGACAAGCAAACACACAAACAGCGACAAACAACCCACAAACAGCGACAAAACAAAACACACAAACAGCGACAAACAAACCCACAAAACAGCGACAAACAAACACACAAACAGCGACAAACAAACACACAAACAGCGACAAACAAAAACCCACAAAACAGCGACAAGCAAACACACAAACAGCGACAACAAACCACCAAACAGCGACAAACAAACACACCAAACAGCGACAAACAAAACACACAAACAGCGACAAACAAACACACAAACAGCGACAAACAAACACACAAACAGCGACCAAACAAAACACACAAACAGCGACAAACATCACAAAACAGCGACAAACAAACACACAAACAGCGACAAAACCACAAAACACAAAAAACAGCGACAAACAAAACACAAACAGCGACAAAACAATACCAAACAGCGACAAACAAACACAACACAAACAGCGACAACAAACACGACAAACAAACACACAAACAGCGACAAACAAACACACAAACAGCGACAAACAAACACACAGCGGCGAACAATACAAACACACAAACAACACAGCGACAAACAAACACACAAAACAGCGACAAACAAACACACAAACAGCGACAAACCAAACACACATAACATCGACAAACAACCCACAATACAGCGACAAACAACACATTAAACAAACAAGCGACAAACCACACAAAATCAAGCGATCAAACAAATCCCAAACCAAACAGCGGACCAATGCAACACACCAAAAACATTGACGACAATAACAAAAATTCCCACAAAACAGCGTTACAAACAAACACTAACAATACCATGCCGACGAATATCTAGACCCCACAAACCAGCGACAAAAAACACAACAATACAGGCGATCAAGCATGAGTAGTACACAAACAGCGACATAATCAGAACACACAAACATGGCCTGATTCGAAACAAACACACAAACAGCGACAAGCAAACACACAAACAGCGACAATCGAAACCAAAACAGTCGAACATAACAAAACATCTACACACCAGCGAACAAACAAAACCCACAAGACTAACAGCCGTCACAATAAAGTAAAACACACAAACAGCGACAAATCAAATAACGACCTATCAAAAACGATGCAGTTACAAAACTAACCCACACTAACAGCGAAACAGAGCAATACACACAAACAGCGGACAATTATAAACAAAACCCACAAACAGCGTCAACAAAACTAAACTTACACACAAACAGCGATCAAACATATACACACATAACAAGCGGTACAATAACAAACACACAAACATTGCGACATAAATCATAATACAACACAACAGCTGCACAAACAAACACTACAATATAATAACAGCGACAAAACAAATTCACAATCAAAACAGCGAACAAAACATAATACGACCATAACGAGCGACAAACAAAACACACAAACTAGACGACAATACCAAAAACACACAATAACAGCGACAAACTATTAACACTTAACCAAAACAGCGACAAACAATATAACACACATACTAATACTAAAGCGACAAAAAATCAAACACATACAAATATCAGCGACAAACAAACACGTACAAAACAGCGTTCAAGGCCATTGACGTGAGCAGTCACGCCCTACCACCGCCCCCACCGCTACCTGGCCGACCTCCTCTCTCAACTGAACTGGCCGCATCTCTCCACCTCATGGTGCAAATGGCTCCCATCATAAAAGCTCTATTTCGGAGAATCATGTTGTAAATACCTCAGCGGTTCCGCTTATTAATGGAATAAATTCCGGTTCTGCCCATGGTCACTTTCTCTTCTATTCTTGTGTATTAAGTCCTTGTTATCCTTTGGTTGGTATTCTATATTTGTCTAATTCCCTTTAACGTGATTTGTTAAGTTATGTTGTGTGTTGTAATGTTTGTTGTTACTATTACATCCCATTTCTACTATCTATTTTCATATAACTTTTACTTACCTTACTATTTTATATATCCATTATATTACTTCATATATCTGCCTACTAACTTTACTATCCTCTAACTCTTACGTTATCTTTCCCTTCTCTCCATGGTCTTCTAACTCACTTCCCCTCCTACTATCATCTACCTGCATCCTATAACCTACCATCACTCATATTCTATAAACCCTTTAACTCATTAACAACCTAGGAGTATAAAAAAATTAAAAAGTATATGTGTGTGGTATATGTCTAGACCTGTGTTGTTAAGTCGTCGGCTCGATGCAAG